AGGATTTAGTTTCTTTTTAAAAAAATTACGTACTTAGTTACGTATTAGTAATTAAAACTATTTTCTTTTAAACATCGACAAAAAAATCAAACAAATAGTATTGCAAAGTCTCTTAATCAATTTTATGCATATATTTTTGAGCTACTTATGTTGTAAATTTGTGCAAGTTTTTATCTTAATCTTTGCATTTAAGATTTGTCATATTATTTAGCGCATGGATATCAAATTAAGTTAAGATTTTATAAATTGTTTACCGATTTGGCAAATGACTTTTTACTAAATTGTATACGAAAATGTTTGGAAACGACGCCCACCATAGATAGAATCATAGATTCGCTACTGCACTGTGCCCTTGCAAGCTAGCTTTTGACCCTGCCCCGTTCACGCCTTGTACACCGGCCTCCATTGCCCGTCTAATAGCCTCCGCACTATCTTGCTCTGTAACACATGAGCATGCATATGCAGTGGTGATTCAGGCAACTCCATCAAACTAATCCAGATCCAACGCCCAACGGAAGCTCTGCTAGGTGATCTCATTTCCTAGTCCAGCACAACGGCAGAAATAAAGCGACAACAGAAACTTGGTCCCGCCGTTGTTCAAACCTGGTGGTCGCTAGTACTCTTTCCGCTGCGAGCCGGGTCGGTCATGTCACAGCCGAGATCACTACTACGGCTGTGTTTAGCGCGTGTTTAGTTGGGTGAAAGTTGGAAATAGGGCTACTGTAGTATTTTCGTTTTTATTTGGCAAATAGTGTTCAATCATAGACTAATTAGGCTCAAAACGTTCGTCTCGTAATTTCCAACCAAACTGTGCCATTACTTTTTTTTCGTCTACATTTAATGCTCCATGCACGTATCGCAAGATTCGATATGGCCACTGTAGCACTTTTTGGGAATTTAGGGTGGGAACTAAACACGCGCTTAGTTCGCGAAATGAAAATTTTTGGATGTCACATCGGATATTTCAGGGATGTCGGAAGGGGTTTTCAGAGACTAATAAAAAAACTAATTACATAGCTCGTCTGGAAACTACGAGACGAATTTATTAAGACTAATTAATCCATCATTAGGGCATGTTAGTACTGTAGCACTTATGGCTAATCATTGACTAATTAGTCTTAAAACATTCGTCTCACGATTTCTAATTAAACTGTGTAATTAGTTTTTTTTGTCTATATTTAATACGTCAAGCATGTGCCGCAAGATTCGATATGATAGTTTAAGGTGAAAATTTTTGGAAACTAAACCAGACCTACTGCTGGATACGAGTACATGGGGCGCCGACTGCCGACAGCGACCGGGCTTGCTTCAGGCGGCGAAGCAGGGGACCGCCGATGAGTCATGTCACGCGGCCCCCCTATCATTCGATGGCGACGGCGACGGCGGCGAAATGGCCTCCAAGGCTACAATACGCCAGCTTGCGCCACGCTTTACGTCATTACGTGGGCATAGGCAATCATACGTACTGATGTACTCCGGCACACCAATACTAACGTGAAACCAGAAACACAGTGTGATCGAGTATTTAGCGTAGATCTAAGAGAACATCCTATGATTAACGCACATGTATGTACTGCATCACTCCGGTACGAGTACTCCTACTTGGTACTAAGAATATAGTCGGTACACGCAGTCACGCACGCAGCGAGCGTCCCGGCAGCTAGCTACCTAGTTGATTTAAAGGGCAGAGATGGTTCAATCCTAGAGAAACGGGAAGTGTTCTTGGGGACTATCTATCGCTATCCAAAAGATGCCGGGCCACCGAACTCAAACACACAGTAGCACTAGTGAGTGATCCTCTCTCTCTCAATCGAAAGGCTAAGCGGAAGCGGGGGGTGGTTAGGCTCGCCGGTTAATAATACAGCCAGCTACTTACTGTATGAATTTTTGCAGCCTACTTCTCAGCCCATCTTTATAATAGTTACATCTTTACTATTAATATATGGCACACTTATCTCTCTCACAGAGTTTCTTGATTCTTATGTCCAAACCAGCTATAAGCTTACAGCCCGCTTCTCATCTTTCTCCATCTATCTCTTCTCCACCTCAGCATTTAGTCTACGTCTAGCCCCTTGGTATACTTGCTCATATAGCCTTCGACGGCAAGGGCATGAGAGAGAGATTCCCAAACCCAACCAAGGACACCAATCTCTAGGCTTAACTCTGGCCGTGTCGGGACAACTTTTTGTACGACGATCTCCTCATTGGGATCCCCTGCCCCCGCCACCGCACCAAACACCAGCTCCTGCCACTCTCTGCTGCCTTGTTTTGCTTGCCTGCACGTCGCCGTAGGGCTGTGCTGCTGGGCCGCGCTCGTGCTTGTCCGCTTGTTTTTTCTGCCGTCTTTATTTTAACTCCTGGCCACGCAATAAGCGATCACACGAAGCACAAGGCGTACAAACCCTGTCAGATTCGAGCATTAGGCTCAGCTAAATCATGGACTGCTTGGATACTCTGCACGCCTTCATCCAGCGGCCACATATATACCGCTTATTACATACGCACAAAAACGATAGATTAAGCAAACTCCAAAGTTTGCCAGATATATTAGCAGGAAAGGAAAGGAACGGAACACCAAACACGGCCACAGCATTGCTTTGGAGGCGGTCGTGCCGGCGCTTTGGCCGTTAAGGAGGGGAGGGGTGCAGCATGCCATGCATACGGAAGGAATGCCCGGGGGTCCACATACGAGTATGGCTTTCGCTTTCTCTGGCATTTGTGCAGCCTGCCTCCTTTGACTTGGCAGGGGGGAATTACCAGCAGCTTGTGCAGCATTGGTGCAGTTCCAGCAGTCTCATCGATAAAGGGGAAAGGAAAACACAGGAAACAAATAAAAGGAGGAAAACCGAAGAAAAAAAAAGAAAAGAAGCGCCCTACTAGTCCTACGACCACGACCAGCAGCAGCTGCAGGAGAAGTAGGATGCATGCCCAAGTCCAGCCCTGCAGCATGCAGATTTGCAAATGATCAGGACGGGGCGAGGGAGGCAGCTAGCTACTGGCTACAGTCCTGGGATCCGTATCGGATCCCCGTAGCTGGCGGGCCAGGGGCGATCCTGGGTTTGCGTGCGTGGAGGTTGGTGCCAAAAGGCGGGATCTTCTATGCCCTGACCGCGACTGTTCCTTGGACCGATGATCGGATTCGATTCGACGCGGCACTTTTGATGGAGTCCCCGGCTCCGGCCTCCGGGCGCATCATGACATGGCGCGCGGTGGCCGTGGCCGTGCCCCGTGGCGCCCCCCAATTATATCGGCTAGTACCCAGCCCAGCCGCCCGTCTTTTCCTGTGTTCCCTGCCTGCTCATCCTTCCTCTTCCTGACGCTTTGCTCTTTTGCTTCTTTTGATTTCCATTGCTTGCCCCGTTGTTGTTCCTTCTTTTCTTCTCGCCACTCCCTTGTCGCGCCCTTGTTGCCTTCTCTCTTTCTTTCTTTCGATACGGCCGGCCCCCTTTAGTTTCCTAGCTCTTTTCTCTCCTCTTTATTTATTTCTGGCGTTTGGAATGGAAGCTCAGTAACGCTCCTTGTGCGTTGATTCAATCATGTGCCCAAACGTGCTGGTAATTCTGATCGTCGACCGTCCGGCAGTATTCGATCGCCGAGATCCCGTTCAAATGAGATCGCCTCTGCACATCGTACTACTGTACTGTACGTAGCATGACTGTTCAGGACGCTACTAGGACAGTAGTAGTACATCATCTGCGCTGCATGCATGCGTCGGCGCAGTCAAACTGGATAGGATCGGGATCGCGAACACATTGCGTGTGCGGGGTAGTAGATGTGTAGGAGACTGGCTGCCCAGCGCGTGGCGACGGCAATAACTTCGACCGATCCTGTCATCACAATACAGGATCAGGATGACGTCCGTCTCTCTTGACCCATGATGGAGAAACGACGAAGGCAGAAGGAGCGGAGACCAGCTAGCTAGCCGATGCAGCAGCGCGCACAGGCTCGCTGCGTACTGCGTTGCTTGCAGCTTTCTTCACCTAACGCTAACGGATGGACGACGCATGCATGGCATGCATGCCCCCGCCCTGACACCCATCTCGTTGTCGCGACTAGCTAGGAGCTCGGCTGGCTCATCAGCTTGGGACTGGGTGGCCGCCAGGCCGGCTGCCCGGGCATCCCACGCCGAGGACTTGCCACTGCCAAGCCAGCCGCGGCAGGACAGGAGTTACGGACGGACGGACGGACAGACAGATCGAACTGTGCCCCTCGTGATCGGCAAACTCGACTCCAACGCGCGCAGCAGCAGCGGCAGCCGTAGTACTCTACTCCCAACCCCAGGACGCTGGACGCGGGCGCACCAAGCAACAGAGCCATCTGCGCTCCGGTGGCCTCATTCGTTCGGCCTCACCTCCCGTAGTCCTCCACGTCCCCATACGTGCGTGGGAGACTGTTCCCGGCTTCACGTGGCCTCGCTTTTGACCGGGCGGCCACACCGCTCTTTGACCGCGCCCCCGCCGGGCCACCCGCCAGTGCCACACAAGCAGGCAGGCAGACATCCGCTGATCCGCCTCGCGTCCTTTCCCTCGCTAGCCGGCTAGCCCCACGGTGCGCGCGTTTGCATCGCGCGTCGCGCCCCGGCCCCGCGGCCGGAATCCCAAATCTGGCAGGGCACAGGCAGAGGCAGCCGAGACAAGGCCAGCCGGGGGAGCCCACGCCACGCCAGCCGCTACACCTTACCCACGTCGCCGCTATAAGAACCCGAGGACCCCCATGCCCTGCCCGCTCCACATCCACACGCCAGCCAGCCAGCCACAATAGCGTCTCGTCCCTCGCCACGCCATCGCGCGTAGCACGAGCTAACCTACGCGATCCAGCCGTAGTGCTCGGTGGACACAGCCAGTTTCCGAGGAGAGACATCCCCTCGATCTCCTATTCTCCTGTCCTTCTCCAAGCTCTACTATATTAATCATCCCGGCACCAGGCGGCGGCCACCACCACCACCACTTGTAGCTAGAGCTCGATCGCCTCCTGCGACCAGTTAGCTACTAGTCAACAAGATGCTGCACGAGGCGGCGCCCTGCACGTGCGGGCTGCTCTACGGCAGCAGCTGCGGCGGCTGCTCGCTGCTGTTCGCCGCCGCGGCGGGGGACCACCACTACAAGCACTGCGGCGGCCGCGGCGGCGGCGACGGGGAGACCTTCAGCGGCGGGCCGTACGGGGGCTCCGTGGACTGCACGCTCTCGCTCGGCACGCCGTCCACGCGCCGCGCCGAGGCCGGGGCGGCGCGCGCGCCCGCCGCGGCAGCCGCCGGCCTGCACTGGGAGGCGCCCTCCGCTCCCAGCTGCAACGGCAGGCAGCAGGAGACGCGCGCCGCCGAGGCGGGCGCTCGCCGGTGCGCCAACTGCGACACCACCTCCACGCCGCTCTGGAGGAACGGGCCGCGCGGACCCAAGGTACGTGCGTGCGTCGACCGCAACGCCATGCAACGGCATAGCCGCGACGTAATCGATGCATGCGTTTCGTTATTACACGCTCGCTGTGTCCCTGTACTAATCAATGTATGTATATCATTTCGATTTGGTGCGTGCAGTCGCTCTGCAACGCGTGCGGGATCCGGTACAAGAAGGAGGAGCGGCGTGCGGCGGCCGCGGCGGTGGCGCCGGCGGCGCTGGCCGCGGACGGAGGGGTGGACTACGCCTCGTACGGGTACGCGCGGCAGCCGCAGCAGTGGGGCTGCTACGGCCCGGCGGCCGTGGCGAAGGCGGCGTCCTTCGGCATGTTCGGCGACGCGGCGGCCGAGGTCGACGGGCCGTGCCTGCCGTGGGGGCTCGGCGTCATGCCGTCGTCGCCGGCGTTCGGGACTGTGCGGGAGATGCCGAGCCTGTTCCAGTACTACTAGGTACTACGTAGTAGCTAGCAGAATGGTAGATTGCTCACTGCACTGCACGTCCGAACGAAGTCTCCTGTTTCCCTTTCTCCCCTTTTGGTAACAACAAGATGCTGCACTTCTTTTTGAAGCCATGAGAGATGCTGTACTTGACCAACGAACCAAAACTGCATCAAAAGCCGAAGCTGAAATGGATCAATCCGATCTCTTCACTCACTCCCGCTCATCATCTCCTTTTTTTTTCTTTTTCTTTTGCTCTGCTTACAAATTTTCCATTCATTCAGCCTGTTCGCTGGTTGGTTTCTGGGCTGATAAGCCCGACTGATGCTGATTTGTTGTGAGAGAAAAACATACTGGCTGATAAGCCCTGGCTGAAACTAACAAGCGAATAGGCTGATTATTTGTGTGTACTTCATCAGATTCTAACATGCGTAGTACTGTACTTGAAATGTGCAAATTTTCTTGTTTGAATCTTGCTGCGTGATGATGGTTTGATGAAGGTGACCCTATCCTGGCCTCCATCTGAATGAATAATGAAACTTACAAACCTCGCAAGAGTACAGTTGAGTGTCTAGAGAGAAGTTCTCATGTTTCAAACGTGCAGTATTGGCCATTGTCCTTTGCGCCGTGTTTAGTTGAGGAAACTTTGGATTTTGGGCTATTGTAGCACTTTCGTTTTTATTTGGCAAATAGTTTCCAAACATTGACTAATTATTAAAAAAACGTTGGGTTGTTTTTCTTTTCGTCTACATTTAATGCTTTCATGGTGACAAGATCACCTTTTTGGATTTTGAGATCCAACTAAACAAGGGCTTGGTGATCATGATTGGGTTGTTCCTTGGGGACACCGTGCACAGCTGGCTAGATTTGCACCTTTTGCTGGGGCCAACGGTCAATCATCGGTAGCTGCATTCTAGTATGTTTCGGGACCCACAGACGTACGGGCCCTCTTTTTTTCCCCTCGCATAGTCCATGAAAGTTCAAAGAGATTAATTTCGCCAAAGTTAATAAGAACACTAGTTGCTCAACCCATTTAGGACATCGTCTCTTACGCTTATATTTCGATAAACAGAGACTAGCGCATGATAGCCAACAAGTGGAAAAACAATTTAGCAGATGTCGAACTGAATCTACTTTAAAATGGCAATGGTACATTGCTTGCACCACTTGATTAGTTCCCAGGGATCATCATCAGTTTGAGAGCAATGGGGTCCCGGGAATCATCATCATCTTCCTCTGCCTCTGCCATCTTCACCAGTTTCAAAGAAGCAACGGCAGGCATCTCATCTCGACAGCGACACTTGGGGGGCCACGCTATCTCGGACAAGACACAAAAGGTCCATCTCCTCGTCGGCTCCTGTGGAGCCATTCGTCTTCGTTCGACTCCTTCAGGAATGCCGAGGCCAACTTTCCGTGAAGACTGTCGCCGCACACGTCGATTGCCCAGCCACCAGATGCCCTGAAGGCAGTGTCTTATAAAATCTGTGGATTGTTGTGTTAAATACGTACAGCCCGTGCTGAGACAGAGCTCCATGCAGTCACCGTCACGTCCAGGTCCAGGGGCAGGCACCGTCACGTCCAGCGCCGCTGCAGGTTCGTGTGCCAACGCCCGGCTCGAGCGAGGAGCGACGCTCATGCAGGTCGGCTGCCGGTGCATGATGCGGCGTTGAGAGATCCCATCCCATGTATCGGCGTCGCCACGCGCGCTGCGTGTTGTTTCAGGTCGATGTCGTCGAATGGGTTCTGGCCTGTGGGTATGAATCCATGTCGCCGGAGAGGGGAGCCGTACGCGGTGACGTCCGCTACATTGCGTTGCGAGCACCGAGCAATGTGAGGATGACGGGCGTGTGCAGCACACCATCATCAGGCCGGCGAGGGCAGTGATCCCATGGAAATGGAATGGAAGTCACAGAAGCCCGTGGCCCGTGGAATGCGGCTCCGTGAACGTACAAATTAAAGTTCAAGCAGCCAACATGTGTATTTTAATTTGATTTGAGAACAGGAGTCGGGTCATCTCGCTCAATGTTGTGGGATTGTCAAAATCGTGGTAGTAGTTGAGTGAAACGTCTTTATATATAAGATTGGAATTATGGAATCGTAAATAAATATTTTCATTTCTAGTCGAGGTAAAATCGGACGATAAAATGGAGATTTTCGCACGCATGCATGTTGTGTACTCGAGCTTTTTTTTTTTTGAGAAAATGTTGTGTACTCGAGCTTGTCGGCGGTAATTCTTGGCAAGCTGGCACGAGGCCGATCCAGACGCGCCTGGGCCGTCCCTTTCACAATTAAACCATTCCAGGCCTGGGCCTAGCAAAAAAAATGGGCTTGTCACGTGAGAAAACCTACTTGGACCTTGACACCTAGGCAGCTCGAAGTTTGGAAAAAGTCCACGTTACCTCCTCAGCTTTCACGAAAGTCCGCTTTTCCTCCCTGAACTTCAAAATCGGGCAAAACACCTCCCTCAACTTTTAAAACCGTTCATCTTACCTCTCTAGCCCTATTATAAGCAGTTTTGAAGGCGGTTTTGTCTTTTTCTTTTTTATTTATTTCGGCTGAATCTTTGAAAAATCATAGTAAATCATAGAAAAATCATAAAATAGAAAATCTAATTTTGTTAGACTCCACATGAGTAGATCTACACAGTGAATATATAATACGGTATGCTTTAGTACAAAGTTTTTGTTGTGGCTTTAAATCTATGCTTTTCTGTAATTAACTGGAATAATTCATAGCTGCAGTTTTTATAATCCAATTGTGGTGAAATTTTTATGGTGGACTAATTATTGTATGCTTAAACTGTAGTAAAAAATTCATACTCATTGGATCATGTATACCTTAGTTATATATTTTATTTAGGTTTATGCTTGTTAAATACAAAAAATCTATTACTAAGCTATACATGATCCAATGAGTATAAAATTTTTACTACAGTTCAATCACACAATAATTAGCCTATCATAAAAATTTTATCACAATTGGACTATAGAAACTGCAGCTATGAACTATTCCAGTTAATTACAGAAAAGTATAGATCTAAAGCCACAATAAAAACTTTGTACTAAACCGTACCATATTATATGTTCATTGTGTATATATACTCATGTGGAGTCTAACAAAATTAGATTTTCTATTTTATGATTTTTCTGTGATTTACTATGATTTTTCAAAGATTCAGCCGAAATAAATAAAAAAGAAAAAGACAAAATCGCCTTCAAAACTGCTTATAACATTGCCAGGGAGGTAAGATGAACGGTTTTAAAAGTTGAGGAAGGTGTTTTATCCGGTTTTGATGTTCAGGAAGAAAAATCGGACTTTCGCGAAAATTGATGAAGGTAACGTGGACTTTTTTCTCGAAGTTTTGATCGGCAATGCGAGCCAGGCTGAGTTCATCCACGAACCAAACAGACCCAATGTCGTTCGGCCCTGTACACCATTCGAAGGCCCGGCCCTATGGCCCTTACCCCGTTCGACACCCTCACCTCAAGATGGCAACGGGTACGTACCCGATGGGTACTGGCCACCCGTACCCGCACCCGCCAGATCAAAATCTTACCCCGTCGGGTTACCCGTACCCGTAGGCGGGTAGAAAATTCATTCCATACCCGCACCCGACGGGTAATTCTTACCTGACAATATACCCGAGTTCACACACCAAAATATAATAGCTTCCAGCAAAACAAATCAACAATAGAGCAGCAAAACAGAAATATGGGCTGGTGGAGTGGAGTGAGGATGAGGATTAGGATTTGAGGGAGTTCTGGAATATATATACTCATATGCTTATATGGGTCAAATATGAGTTATATGCTTATATGGGCTAAAATTGCAGAGGTTGGATATTATTTATGCGGGTTTTTTTTACCAGCAGGTTTGGGTAGTATACACCCACACCCGTACCCACATACCCGATGGGTATAAGAATTTGTCCAATAACGTACCCGCGGATGTAAAATATCTTCCATACCCGCCTCCTCATCGGGTAAAACCCGTCGGGTACTCGGGTTTCGGGGACCCTCACCCTCTAATTCGACACTCGTCCGTGCCCGAACACTCGTCTTCCCGCACTGGTCGTGGTGAGCCCACTGACCGACGCCGAGTTCAATCGCTAGGGTGAATGAAGGCTGCCGGGGCCGACCGGCGACCTCGCCGCTGGCCCTACACGAGATAGCACCTCTGCGAATTGTGGCAGGAGGCCCCGAGGCCAGGTCGCGCCGCCTGTCCCGCACCTTGCAAATGCGTGGGGACTGGGGACCGCGATCAAGCGCAGCGCCGCCACCATCAGCGACGCGGCCAAGCTACCTAGGTAAGTGCCTGTGGGTCGTTGTTCATAGCGTATGCAAGCCAACCAGACTAGCGATGCTTGTGTTTCTATATGCCGTTCTGACTTCTAAGCCCGTGCGTGTTGATAGATGGCGGTTTAGAAAGTAATGCCCCGATAGCGTTCTAGGAAATGCTTGAAGAACGAAACCTTGTGCCTGTTAGTAGATTCGAATCTCACTATCTATATATCATAGATGTTCCAATGTTGTTAATTTTGTTGGGGCTGTGCATATGGATACGTAGTGAGGAACTGGGGATAAGGCATTGTATTTCCGTGGCTGCTGCCTGCTGGCGTACTCTTCGACCAGTTCTAGATTCTTGTATCTGAATTCATTCAGGGTGTTGTGCTCGTGGTTCGACTTTAAACTTCAATGGGTTAATGGGGTGAGATGTATACTATTCAGGCTTTATAATAAATTGCACTAGTGTACTATAACACTATTAAGAATAGGTTGAGAATTGGGATTTATCACTAGCTACCACTGACCTGCTTGAGTTAGACACCTGTGTTGCACGCATTTTCTGCAGGAAGGAAGAATGAATGCATTTAAATTGCAAAATGTTGGCATCTTATGCCTCACAAGAGGAGCATGATTACTTTCAAGTTTTAACCAAGCACAACTTTATAATTAGCAAACTGGTACAAGAGTTTTACATCACTCTTTACTGTACAAGTATTCATTCATAGGGGACCATAACTTCACAGCACACACTAGCTATGAGCAGATAGGGTTCCCTGGTTTCTACAGCATATAGCTGATGATTTGCTCTCAACCTATAGCTATTTACACATAACACACTTATCTATATTCTCCAGCTCCTTTTATTTCTTACCCGAGCAATCATAAACTTCTTAATACAACAACATATCAGCACATTTCCTTCAATAGCTAAGATATCTAGTTCATGTAGCAGTAGTTCCTGTCTGGTGGTTCTTCACATCCTTCACTCCTGAAAAAAAAGTAAAGCCGTACTCCATAAGTTTATCTGAACAGTGACCATACTTGCAGTGTACTTTAATAGGAAATCATTTATGTTGCATTTGGATCTGAATAGCACTGAAGCACGGCTCTCCTTTTATTTTGTACTAGCTTTGTGTATATGCATGCCTGCTAGTTTTGTAACAGGCGGCTTGTCAATTGTCTACTTAACTATGATATTCAAATTTATGTATATTTACAGCTGCCTCCTCAAGGGGTACGAATGGTCCTGCTCTGTTTCAACTTTCAAGAGAGCATGTTGCCTTTTGCAAAAGACACAGAGAAGTGGAACAAGTTCCTTTTTGCAATAAGTACTACTGAAAAGGAGATACTAAAGTGCATGTCGGCTACAACCCCAGAAGTCTGGAACTGAAGTATAAGGGTTAGAGTACAAGATCTTAACTTTTTTGGGTACGGACAGATTATTTGGTTAGGGTTAAAATCTCACGTGATTAAGTGACAATGTGACTCTAGGTACCCAACAGTTGGAACAAGCTACAGAGCCAATTCCTGGGGGCTGTGTACAAACTGCAAACCAGCTTGGTCACAGACCAAGATTGGAGGATACTGCATGCATAATGGCCTGACTGAATCTTAAATATGTGTTGTCGTTATGGGTAAGTTATTTAGTTTCTTTAATATTGCAAGGACTCTAATGTTGCATTCAACCTAATGAGCAGAACACTAAAGGAAATTTCTTTCAAAAAGGAACAGTAAAGAAATGATCGGTTTTCTATAACACAGTGTTACCAATCTAGGGCATGGTTTGAATGGCTGAAGTTTCCTTTTGTTACCTGAGTTCCAAGCTCCCTGTGTGTTGTAGTTGGGGAATGGAACTCTGCCGGATTCAATGAGCATGACATCGTCATTAAGGATCTCATAATGGCGGCGAACTTCATCGGCTGTCTTGATGCCACCGATGGCACGGGCCACCTTGTGCCAGCGGTCAGGTGTGCCCTCGCCATAGCAGGCTAGGGCCTCCTCGAACAGCTTGTTCTCCCTTTTGCTCCAGTTGGAATCAATGTTAACGTTGCGGGAAGAGCTCCTGGACCCAGACATCTTTGGTTTGGATTGCCTTTCTCAGAAACAGAACTAGTGCTGGTGTTTTATGTGTAGACTCTTGTTGGATAGCTGGACCTGAAGTTTTTAGCTCTTGCAAGCTCTGATGTTTTGATCTCACTGTTGCTAGGGTGGCTACTATTTATAGGCACTTGGCGAGCGTGAACTGCTGTTCACATTGCCGTCCTCCTTTGCAGTAGGCTCAAAGCTTGAAAGGCTACAGATTCTCATGTTTTGAACTCAGGATCCACAACAAGAGTAGTGTGTGCACGTGGGCATCATGGAAAGGGGAATCCCAATATCTTCTGTTCTGCGTATATAGGTAAATTGATTGTTAGCCTACAGGACCGGCTCAAGTGAGTGAACCACTCACCAGTCTTGCCGAGCACCCGCTAGTGTTGTCGAGCACGCATTAGCTAAGCCGACCACGAACCAACGTTGTCCGTCTCCACGCACTATGGCTAGAGGTTGAAGAAGAGGGAGAACAGAGCATACACACACAGTACAGGACACCAGCGTTGGCCGAAGCCCTGTATGGGAGATGGCAAATCTGAACTCTTTTTACTGAGTTGCCGTGGCAGTCTATTTATACAACTCTATCCATCTAGTCCTAGTACAACGGTCATGTTGCTACAGTGACTAGATAACACAGAGGACTGACTTCTGCACCTGTCCCTACATGTGGCTACAATGAGGCAGGTGAGCCGTTCGACGCCTGCCACTACAGTGCTACAGTACCACGGCAGGGGGCCTTCCCTTGCTATGTGTTCACACAAGCAGTAGATTATTCTAACAATTCTTCTCCTAATCCTACTGCTATCCCTTGTACCCCTTCAATGCCGATCATCTCCTTCAGCTCTGTGAGTCGAAGACGTCCGAGCGGCTTGGTGAGGACGTCCGCGAGTTGTCGACCAATTTCGACGAACTCGATGACGATCTGTCCTCCATCGACACAGTCCCTGAAGAAGTGGAACTTCACGTCGATGTGTTTGCTCCGGTCGTGCAGAACCGGATTCTTCACGAGGGCGATGGCGAGCTGGTTGTCCACCATCAGTGCTGGTGGGTGAGCTTCCGCACCGGTCAGCTCGCCCAGCAGCCGGCGCAGCCACACAACTTGGCACGCCGCTATGGCCGCCGCTATGTACTCTGCCTCGCACGTAGATAGCGCCACCACCTTCTGTTTCAGCAACAGCCATGAAATTGGGGCCGACCCGAGGAAGACGAGCATGCCAGAGGTGCTCCGTCGTCCGTCGATGTCCCCCGCCATGTCTGCATCGCTGAACACAGTGAGCTGCAGCCTACTCCCACCGGTCTTGGGAAAGATGATCCTCTGATCCATCGTCCCTTTGACGTAGCGTAGTAGCCGCTTCACCGCAGCCCAGTGATCCTCTCTGAGATCCTCCATGAAGCGACTGACGAAGCTCACGGCGAACGCAAATGTCCGGCCTCGTGTGGACTAGGTAGCGCAGACCGCCGCCGATGCTCTGGTAGAGTGTTGCATCCACCTTCGTCGTGATGCTGGCCTTCGTCAGCTTCAGCCGCTCCTCCATCGGAGTCACGCATGGCTTGCACTGAGCCATGCCGCTCCGCTCCAACAGCTTGGAGGCATACGCGCTCTGACCGAGCGTGAGTTCCTCCTTCCCCTGTCTCACCTCGATGCCGAGGTAATAGGAGAGTGCGCCGAGATCGCTCATTCGAAAACAAGCCGCCATCTCGCGTTTGAAGCTGTTGATGTCCTTCGTGCGCGCGCCAATGACGATCAAGTCATCCACATACATGCCGACGACGACGAGCTCCTCCTTCCCCCGTCGCCGCGTGTAGAGCGCGTGCTCGGTTGTGCACCACTGAAACCCAAGCTTGCCCAGCGTGGCGTCAAGCTTGGTGTTCTATGCTCGTGGGGCCTGCCGCAGCCCGTAGAGCGCCTTACGCAGTCGGAGCACCCTGTGCTCCTCTCCCTTGACGGCGAAACCTGGAGGTTGCCTGACGAAGACCGTCTCTGCCAGCACGCCGTTGAGGAAGGCCGATTTAACGTCCAAGTGAGGGACGCGCCAGTCCTTTGCTACTGCCAAGGCTAGTAGCAAACGGACCGACTCCATGCGTGCTACTGGCGCAAAGACCTTCTCGAAGTCGATGCCCTCGTGCTGAACAAAGCCTCGGGCGACGAGGCGCACCTTGTGCATGACAATGGCACCGAGCTCATCCCGCTTGACCTTGTACACCCACTTAAGGCCGATCGGACGGCATCCTAGAGGTGGATCGACGAGCTGCCATGTCTCGTTTTCCTCGATCGCCTTCATCTCCTCCAGCATCGCCTATCGCCAGTTTCCATCGTGCTCGGCCAGCGCGAACGTGGATGGTTCCTCTGCACTGACGAGCAGCAGCTCTACGTCATTGAGCAACCTACCCGCCAGGCCTGAGGTCCCTGTGCCGCCGATGATGTCGTCCAGCCTGTGGAACCGCACCTCCTCACCTTCGTGGAAGGCATCCACGAACTCAGTGATGTCACTTGGAGGTGAGGCAAACTCAATCAGTGTTGATGGAGTTCCCTGTTCCGCTGGAGTGCTCAGCACAGCACCTGGAGTGCTCGGCACCCTAGTTGCAGTGCTCGGCACTACTTCTGGATAGCTCATCACTACTCCTGCAGTGCTTGGCACCACTATTGGAGTGCTTAGCCTCAGTCTTAGAGTGGTCGACACCACTGCAAGACCTCTTGGCTCCGCTATGGGAGTGCTCGGCATTCGTCCTGGAGTGGTCGCCACCACTGCAGAACCTCTCGGCACCACTCCTGGCGTGCTCGGCATCCCTCCAGGAGTGCTCGGCACTCCTCCCAGAGTGCTCGGCATCCCTCCCGAAGTGCTCGGCACTGCCCTAGGAGTGCTCGGCTCTATTGCTGGAGTGCTCGGCATCCCTCCCGAAGTGCTCGACACCTCTTCCCCAGCGTCTCCACCACCATGGATGACCAGGTGCTCGACGACGAAGGTGCTGGTGAAGCCGCCAGCTTCCCCCATGCTTGGACTGTTCCAGTCCCAAGCCGCCTTCTCGTCGAACACGACATCGTGCGAGACAAGTACCTTGTCTTCGCATGGATCGTAGAGCCGGTACGCCTTGGTACCCTCCGCGTAGCCTAGGAACACCATCGGTGTGCTCCTGTCCTCCAGCTTGGTGAGGTTTGGCTTCGTCTTTTTGACGTGGCCGATGCAACCGAATGTCTGGAGGAAGGACACGCTCGGCTTGCGCCCATACCAAGCTTCGAACGATGTCTTGCCCGTCAGGGCCTTGGTCAGAGAGCGGTTGAGGATGAACACCGCCGTGGTCACCACCTCACCCTAAAACCTTGCCAACATGCCTTTGGCCTTCATCATAGATCGAGCCATGCCGACCGTCGTCTGGTTCCGCCTCTCCACCATGCCATTCTGTTGTGGCGAGTACGGCGCGGTGTGGTGTCGCATCACACCCTGATCCACGTAGTACGTAGCGAACTCCACCGAAGTGAATTCGCCACCGCGATCAGTCCTCGGCACACGGAGCTTCTTGCCGCTCTCGGTCTCCGTGAGCATCTTGAACTTCTTGATCATCACCGCCGCTTCGTCCTTGCTGATCAGGAGTTGCAGCCACATGTAGCGACTGCAATCATCCACGAGCAGGAGGAAGTACCGCTGACCACCGTTTGTAGCTGGCGTGATCAGCCCACAGAGGTCGCCGTGGACGAGCTCGAGAAAGTCATTCGCGCAATACTTGGCCGCCTTTGGGAATGGTAGCCTCCTCTGCTTCCCGGCGCAGCTGTCACATAGCTCGCCTCCGTGCTTGATGTGGGGTAGCCCTCGGACCATCTTCTCCAGCCGACCAAGTGTATCGAAGCTGAGATGTCCAAACCGGGCATGCCACATCCACGGTTCCTCGGTGTGCCTTGCCACCAGGCACACCGGCTGCTCTACCTTTAGGTCGAGTAGGTACAACCGGTTTAGGGACCTCTTCACCTTGGCGAGAAGTCGTTGCTCCTGGTCCCTAATCCTAAGGACTCTGTCCTTGATCAGTACCTCGCTACCGCGCTCATCAAGCTGACCAATGTTGATGATGCTGGAACGTAGCTGCGGGATGTAATATACATCCGTTAGCGTGCGGTGCTCCCCATTCTGGCACCTGAAGATGATGGTGCCGCGCCCTTGGATTGCCACCCTTGAGCCATCACCAAACTTTACCGTACCGGTAACATCATCATCGAGCTCAGAGAAGGATGCCTTGGAGCCCATCATGTGGTTGCTGGCACCAGAGTCCAGATACCACCGCTGCTCCTGGTCGGCGCCCACACGTCCAAGGTGGACTTGGGTGCGTGGTTCGTCGAGATTGACAGTCTTTAGGGCCTTCCTAGGTCCTTCCACCGTCGTTGCCTCCTCCCTCTCCTCGGCCTCGACGTCGTGCAGTGCACAGAACGTCGCCATCAAGATAGTGGCCTCTCATCATCATCAGCTTGTGCCAGATGAGCCTCAGCCTTCTTCTCCTGCTTACGATTTGGGCACTCCCGTGCCCAATGGCCCGTCTTCCCGCAGCACCGATAGGCGTTGGGGTTGACCTGCTTCTTATTCTCCGAAGAAGCCCTGCCACGGCGCTTGCCATCGCCACCGTGGCTGGAGGAGGTTGCCTTCCCGGAGTTCCTCCGAGCAGCCCACTCCTCTTCCGTCAGCAGTAGTTTGCCGCTGTCCTTCATTGCTATCGCCTGCTCCATGCGCTCGTCCATCGCTCGCAGACGGCCTATCACATCCTCAATGGTGAGGGTGGACAAGTCCAGCATCGTCTCTATGGAGAGAGCGATCTGGATGTACTTTGCCGGCACGAAGTGGAGGTACTTGGAGACCGCCTCCTCTTCGTCGATGGTGACGCCGTGGCTCTTCAGCTTGTTGATGAGCGTCTGCAGACGGAGGGAGAAATCCTCCACCGTTTCACCATCCTTGAACTTAAGGTTGGCGTACTCCTGCTTCAGAAGCTGGGCCGTCGCCTTCTTT